AAGTCAATAACAACCGAATTGATAGGTAAGGGATATAGCAGTTCTACATTTTATAGAATTACCTAGGCTCTCATTGTCAAGAAATCATCTCAATTCGTTTACATTGTGTTTGCATGGAGTTCATTCCGTACAATTTAATAATATAATGACGATTACGGATTTAATGCCAATAACATAAACTAAACATGCTGACTGAAATATTTGTCACGAATATCAACTTTATACTTCAAATTTATTTCCAATATCCGTAGACTAACAATTCTAAAATTTGAATTTATAATAACATACCAATGTTCAAGTCTTCCTGCATGTACTCCATGTGTCCTTGTCCTTATTTTCGACTTCACTGAAGTGGCGGTCGAATTACTTTAAATTATCTGACCTTTATGCTACTACATACTGCAGCTCAATAATTGACCGTATATCTATAATGAAGGTTTTGTCGTGAATTTCCGTTAAACCACTGATTGCCATTGACTATGAGAATATATGCTGCAGTTTGCTAGAAAAATAAAGTTAAGATGAAGTACAAAAGCCATGCCTGATAACTGTAAATTAACGTTGAAACAATTAAATAGTGAAACGAATTAAGTTGATGTTCAAAAATCTGCTGTTTTAAAACAAGCTATGAATGTATGGGAGTTTTGTTTGATATTTTAGAATTTACTTGCGATGTAAAAAAGATTACTCTTTGATATTTTGTGATATTATTGAACAACTTTAATTCACCTATCAGAACGGTACATCTATGATCTATGGCCTATTTCAAACAAACAAGTGATTAAGTTTTCACATGTTTGTTTAATTGTATTCACAGTTTTATTCATCTATATACTTAAAAAAAATCGACAGCAAAATCGTGTCTTTTATCTTAGTAATAAATCATATTCTCTTCACTGTTTAAGAAGAAAGAATGATTATGGTGACGCACCTTTAGAAAGGTTTGAAAAATACAAATTTTAAATTTTGAAATTTAGCAGTGAATCAAAAAATAATATATAACCATCTTTCAGTTAAAAGTGTAGTTATTTCATCTTAAAAGTAAAGAATTTCTTTTCTCGAACTTCGCACGAGAAAGAAAAAACCTTTCAAATTCTGCTTAAACACACAAAAATTAAAAAAAATGTCAACACATGCAACTTATTATTCCTTATAAAAGGGTATTGATGTGCTTATGAAATAAAAGACAACAGTAACAATTACAAATCAAGTATCTTTTTGTTATAAATACAGTAACAGCCTTTGTCTGTTACTCGGTCGTTTACAAAAACTTTTTCCAAGCCATGAGAAAAGTAACAAAAAATATCCAATGAATTCATTACCCGGTATTTACAAACAGAAAATGCACATAAAAGGAGTAGTAAATGCAAAAATTCTACAACCACGAACGGAATGGTCACGTCGACCCCGAGTTTCAAGTGTGCAATCGGATGTAACGAAATTGAAGGGTTTATATACCGGCACATGTGTGACGATCCGTATTAATGAGTAGTGATCAGCTTTAAGCTAGTCCTGAGTTTTGGCAACTATTTCGGAAATCAAAGTCCAACATAGGTTATTGCTTTCAAGCTTTACTCTTTAAATCTTGAGACCGACACATATTGTTTGTGCTACATATCAACCGAAATATATGCATTTACTTCATCTCATACATCATCAATACGTACGCTAGTGTTACGCCTTATAGTGATATATTGTCATTAAGAATGACTTCACAGACGTATTCAAATAGGTTTGTTTGTTGTTTAATGTCTCTTTCAAAGAATTTTCACTCATAATATGAAACGTGTGTCAGACTATGATGCATCTTTTTTTTATTTCAAGTTTACTGGGATATATCGTGTCAACATATGAGTGGCAAAAACTATTGTTTATAAATAATACGTCGTCGATATATTCAAATGTCGAATTAAAGGTCACAACATGTGATTTCTTCTCATGTAAAAGATTTTGAATAAATTCTGCTTCATAGGTCTGCTAATAATGGGTATCGACTGATTTTTTAGTGTACATAGCACAATTTTGTCAAAATAACTGATTAACGTAAAGTAGATGGATAGATTTGTAAATCTTAATATCCTAACAGTTTCCTGATTTTCTTCAAAATCTAACCTTTTTTTACATATTATGATATCTCTTCTTGACCTTTCTTTCAAAATCGAAAACAGATCGCTTTTTTTTTTTTTTTTTTTTTTTTTTTTTTTTTTTTTTTTTTACATTTCTTGTATATAGACAAACAGAAGAACATACAAACGGATATGAGTTATGAAAAGAGGAAAAAAGAAAAAAGCCCAAGGACCAATACTGTCATATGTGTAAACTTAGATCTGGGTTTTTTTTTTCTACAGAGGATTTTTTTTTAAGTTCTCCCTTCCTTATTCGATAGAAAGAAAATTTTATCCAAGGGTCATGAAAAAATCGAAACTGTATCCTCACAACATGGATATGCTTCAATATGGATATATAACAACCATGGCCTGTTGTTTGGGAGAACGTGATTTTTTTCTGGTATACATGCCTTTTGTAGACTATTGTTTTTCCACACTATTGTGTTTTCTCCAAATATAATTGAACATAAAATTCCATCCCTTGTTGTAGCCCGATCCAAGGCCCCTTTGGCATTGATTCAAATGAATTTAAATCTGAAGGCTGCTACATTAATTTTAGTACTTTGACCCTGTTGTTCTTCATAAGATTTTTTTTTAAAAGTAAACTTAAGCGTAAACATTCGATCCGCAATTATAACCACACCGTTCCCCTTGGACCATGCTGAGAACAAACTGCAATCTGCACTACCTGAGGATTTTAGTATATTTATATCAGTAATCGTTGTCCACCTGTTCGTGAGAAGAATATTTTATCCGTTCATACATGTAAATTGTGAACAATTCTATATCTTTTTGTAGTACCACTCTACGCTACCTGGGGCCTAGAAATTGATTTAATGCAAATATACAAATATCACTAAGCATGGACCTCCCTTTTTTATAAGAAGATTTTTAAAGAGATGTTTTAAATACAAATTCGATGTTCAACTTTTATCCGCTATTGTGACCAATACCTAGCGATAAAGATCGCAATTTTGAATGGATAAATTCTGCAGTATGTTACAAAGTTTTCAAAGAGGTTTTAAGTCTGAATAAGTAGTTAATGATAAGATTTGAAAAAGATTCTCCCCCCCCCCCCTTTTTTTTTTGGTCACAGAAATACTTTAAAGTTCAAATGCCCCTTCCTTCTTAGATTGACTGAAGTCTGTTTTACGTCCCATTCGAGATTTTTTCATTCATATGAGACGTCACCGTAAACAGGTGATCAAGGGCTTCAAATGTAGACTTTCGCTCTGCATCCACGGACATTTTGCAGTTATGATTATTTATCGTGCCAATGCCTATCTCGATACGAGACCTCGGTTTAAAGGTCTCATCCGAAAGTTCAGTGACTTTCACTTCTTATACCGGGGGCTTGAAGGAACAGTTCTACTACTTAAGCATCTTGGGATTGGCGCGCCACCGCGCCCTACCACTGGGCTACAACATATGTTTGCCTCCATTCCTAGTATTATCTGTGAATTATTGTATGTCAATAACATTTATAAAGTAACAATGTCTTGTAGAGTAGGTCACAGAGATGTTATGGGGAGTTGAGAATATTGTTACCTACTACGGTCAACACTATGAATTTTAAAACCCTACGGACCATTATTAGGATTGTAGTTCTAAACTACTCAGACAATCAATATTTCGTAGATGAATATAAATAGGGTATACTATAACTAAGTATTATATTATCTGCAATGTATGATTATCCTTACTTGATTATTATTTCATCTGTGCAATAATAATCGAACTGATGAACTTTTCAACGGTTTAATTATTGATGCGGCATTATGATTTAATCCACATGGGCATTGTTGATATTCTAGGGCTAGGAAGGTCAATATGAACTTATTAACTTTAAGAGCACAATCATTGATGATGAAAGGAAAGTAACATTGTGTGTGTTTTGAAGTTGAATGAAATAAAAGTAATATTTTTAGTATTTGTAAGTATATAATAATAATAACTCTTGATATGAAGAGCCTTAAAATGAAATAAACTTAATTTCCTGTGTCCAGTTGAATTTTGGTCTTGAAATGCTGACTGGCTTTTTCATACTAATTGTTAGGCCATTATTTGGTAAAAATTTAACATTTTGTAGTGGATATGAATTTGTGGGCCTAGCTCTTCATACCACGAAAACAACTAAATTTGAGCCCCCATGAAAATTAATGATTTCACAGTAGTTTCTTTCAAAATGGATGTGCTGTATGTTGGAAGACATTCACCACTTTACTTTTAAATTATTGTTATTTATTTTCTATGCACTTTTCATTCTGCACCTACATTAAATTGTTTTTTATTCAACAATTTTTTTATATAGATTAGTAAGATACATGGACTTAGTTTTAGGGTCATTCATGAATTAGTCAATTGATAAAAAGTTCATTAGAAAAATTTCTTCCGAAATATCATGTAGCAAGATCTTATGCAATTATAATTTGTAGATTTTGCTATTCATATAAAATGAATATATGACACATAATGCCAAACATGGCAAACATGATAGAGAAGTTTAAACATTTTTACAAAGAAAAAAATATTGAATTAAACTTTCCACTCCGCTCATGAGATTGCTTATGAATAAATTTGTTTGATGGTGATATTGTAGATTGTAATTCAGGTGTCAACAACTGGATTTCATTATTATAATATTTGCCTTATTATTCATGTCTTTGATTTCTTTGGAGATTTCACTTGCCATGATTTGAAGAAAACTAAATCTAAGCTCTATAAGATGGTAAAAGCTTTCTTCTGGTTCTTGAGAAGAATAACAGCATTCTACTTGAATTTATGATCGAGTTTTTTTTTATCAAAATATTCTTTGCGTTCTTTACTTTAACGAACATAAATCGCTGTAAACAAAAGATAACATGAGATGGATTTGATTGAAATTAAGCCATGTTCTCTGGAGATAGAGATAATATGCATTTAGAATGCCTTGGATGATCAAAAGCTTATAGTTTATTTCATGAATCACACTACATAGCTTTGATATTTTTCAGACTTTAGTTATTGTACAGATAAATACTGTAGTAGTAGACTTTACTGCAAACATTATTACAAATCATGTCCAAAATGTTCGACATCTGTTAAGAAATTTGCGTGCAGGAGTAGAAAACATGAAATAAATGATCGGGTTTATACAATTATTCAGCATTACACAAAGATTGGATATTGAATAGCTTACTGTAGTCCAAATGCAAAGAACATATTTAGATTTTCCCTCAGCACAGACGTAAACCATTATTACATGTATATATAACGGAGTTGAACTGAAAATGAATATGACAATGATAATGATAAACATAATAGACATTGAATGTGACATATGTGTATAAGTTGGCGTATTTGTTCGTTTAGACTGATATTGTTTCTGCCTTAATGTTCTTATTTTCTTAATATGGAAAAACACGATAAGGAACAAAGGCAGAAAGTAAATATATGACAATAGAACAAAGTCTGTGAGAAAACTATTCACATGTGTTACAATATTTGTGAGTTCCAAAGTTATAACCGTACCATAAGCAAACGCCATAGCAGCACTAAGTACCCAAATAACGATGGAAATCCTTAAAACTTTTCGACAAGTGATTTCAACACTTTGAAGCGGTGACGAAATCAATTCACAACGTAAATATGCAAACAAAACTATGTGCAAATTTGCTGCATGTAGGAAAAAGATAACTATTATAATGTATATTGCAATTTCCTCGTAATAATTAAATATTCCGAAATAGTTGTGCAGTAGTAAAACAAACCGAGAACATGATGCTAATGCGTCAGCAATTCCAAGACAAGCTATACACGTGTAAGTTGGTGTATGCAATTTTTTTTTCAAAAAAATTAATATGATTGTAAAAAAGTTCCCAAACATTCCAGTTATAAGTAATAGTATTGCAATAACTAAAGTCACTAAGGAAATCGTAGAGGTATTCCTTCCAATTTTGTTATACGTTAGATTATCCCAAGAGCTCGCGATCGGTAGACTTCTGTTGTTCTCCATAATCAATAAATCTTCAACATTGCCATTCCAAGCCATATTCCTATAAAAGAAAATAATTAAAATAGGATTACGAAAGCTAAACATTCATTTTTGTTTGAAATAAGTTGCGTTTGTAAATTAGGGTTCTATTTTTCGTACTAGCAATAAAACAGACATTATTTTCAAATAAAATAATGTGAAATTTTCAATGTGTGGATAGTGTTACATCATTAGCAATGGCGTCAAAATAAACCTGACCGTCATATCTCATTGATGGCACATTAATCGTTTGGTAATTAAAAGTTAATTTCTTTTAATTTATGAAAATTCTACACAAACATACTGGAATTTAATCCAACAAAACATCTTTTTGTACATTCAATGATAAGATTGGACTGCCTTTTTTGAGGAATTCTAACCACATTGGTTAACAAGTAATCAAAAGGTTTACTATAGATAATCAGTTCCCCTTTATGCGATTTCTCAGATAACGTTTCATCTTATACCACAGTCATGCGTAATCTATTATCCCCTTGCTATAGATTTGGAGGACATATTGTACGCACTTGTTTGCGGAGGTGGGTAGGTAAATTTTCCTTTGGGCGTAATGGAAGTGACATAATTTTCATTGGAATTAATGTGGAATGCTGCTTTCATTTATAGATCTGCTCTTTTGCGAGGAGATTCCCTGCTTTGAGGTACCCTTGTCTATTATCATATCTTCTAATGCTTATAGGCAAGCTCGCAGCAGCTTGACTTTGCTTATTTTGTACAAGTCAAATAAAACACTTTAATAAAGATGTATAATGTCATTCATTGACAGTAAAAAATGTGAACAATTTAACACACAAGAGGGAGATCAGATTCATAAGCTCTGATTATCAGTTACGTTAAATATGATAAGGTCTGATCCCCCAAATTGACTAAAAATGTACCCGTGAAACAAGACAATCAAAACATCATAAGAAAAAGTTTCCAAAAAGATGACTTATCAAAACAAAATAGGCCAAGTACTTTTGAAACAAGACAATAAAAAAATCACGAGAAAAAGTTGGCAAAAAGATGGTACATAAAAACAAATTTGATCAGAATCAATATATAATTTTACATGACACATTAAACATATTGAGGGGTAGGAATCCTGTGGTGGAGGTGGGTCTTCAAAATATACGTGCTTCGTGTAAATGGTGATCAGCCTGCGAGTATCAAAATACAACTGAAAGACCCGCTAAATGATCACGTCACCTTATATCATTCTTGGCTAGGAGCTATTAATACATCATAATCAGCAATGGTGTGGATCTAAAAATTTTCAGAGCAAAGGAATCCTTTTACAAACCTAAAATCATACTCGAAAACTCTACATAAATTACTGCATTAAATACATAAATAATAATTATAATAATTGTTGTTGTTTCTCTGAATGACATAAATTTTTATCTTCGGCTTTTATTTTCATGTGTTAATATTTAAGGTTGACATGGGGAAATTAATATTACTCTTTTTTCCTCTAGGAGGCTTTAAATAAGTGCTGCTCTTTTGTGTGTATTAGTCTTACGATTTCTTCCTAAGGAATTTGCACGGTATTGTATAAATAAATCTAAATTTTTAAAGCATATATTGTTGTTCACAAAATGTGCTTATACAATAATAGAGCTTAAACTTTATCTGGTTAACAAAATGTCTTTATTTTCATATTAAGTAATAGCTTATGGTATTGTCTTTAAATAAATGTGCCATTCGAATGTGAGTTAAGGTTAGATATAGGCGTTTCTATGCAAATGAGCCAATAAAATAGAATAAGAAGTATACTAATTATTCAGAAAAAGATTTGATTTATTTTCTTATACATTCTTGATTGATTGATTATTGTTTGACGCCGAGTCGGCAATATTTCAGCCATATTTCGGCGGAAAATTAAGTTTATTTGACCGGTATTTGAAAGGTTTTTGGTTTTTCTGGCGGCTCCCAGTGAGCTTACTCTTTTTCGAAATCCAGAGAAACGATCTTTTACCAAGGGGGTTGTTATCCTTGAAACGGGGCACCATTCAAGGTCCCATCCGACGGTCTTAAAAATTAAAAATAAGTAAACTGTTAAGAAATAAATTGCTCTATATTTTTTTTCATCAAAATTGCTAAAATCTTATACATACTTAGTATCCACGATATGTTTTAGCCAGTACACATTATGACGTCATAGGATGACGTCATTTTTCTTACCTACTGGAGGTAATAAAACACATCAACAAAACAGCTTCGGCACAAGGGATAACCATATTTAATTTCATATTGAAATTACATTATGCTAAGAAGAATATACTATAGATTAATAAAACTGCTGCACAAATACTAGGCATTTTTTCATTTGATCAGAATTTGGGGAAATTCATACCGGGAAGTACATTTTTACCCTGATTCAACTTAAAACTTTACAAATAGTAATTAAACAACTTGGCTGTTGATATTTGTGCAACAATACCAGCAATCCTTTGAATATTTTGCTTCTATATATACGTTTTTCAGTTAAATAAAATCGAGCATGCCCTTCCGCCGAGGCATTTTTGTTGAGGTCTCTTACAGTTTTGTGTAGTAGAGAGCAATGATGTCATAATGTGACGTCACAATGTGTACTGGATATCTCACATCGTGGGTACAAAGCATTAGACAAAAAGTTTTAACTTTCTCTGTATAATAGATATAGTCCTTAGACATTTAAATCAGTATATTTGCATAGAAATGACTATACCTAGCCTTAACTCACTTGCGTTGTTAAAAGTGAAGCGTGCCTGGTGTTAATTATTTTTTTGTTTTGGTTTGAGTTTGAGTTTGAAATAGGTTATATAAGTGTAATAGAATTACTTAATTCAGATTATGTTTTCAACAAGCACAGTGTATAAAGCAATGAATCTCTAACATTTTCGGTATATGCTCTTAGAAAGATATAATGTTAATAATTTTCATTAATATCTTTTTTGCTTTTTATCTCAATAACCAAAAACTGCTTGATTAACACAACTACAATACAAAGGACCCTCTAAGAATGCATTTTAAATGTCAATTTATTTTTAAAAAATGAAACCACCAATGCAAGTAAGGTTTCAATTGCAAAAAATACTATGACTTAAAATAAACTCAGAAATAGTTTGCAACTGTTTGTGAAACGTAAAGTTATCAATGATTTTTTTTTTAATTCATGGTTTTGTAACAATCTTTGTCATTATCTAATGCAACTTACCGGTGTTTCACCGAGTACTAAAACAATAGTGACTCATCAATCATTTCCGTATGATTGTTATGAAATATCAAGTGCTATTTTTTAGAAATTAACACTTTTGTTTTTATTCTAGATATTCAATTAAAAATGTTAATTTTAATTGCATTTGCAAGCAAGTAAGAGTCACCATATAATTACCTATGTTTGCCTGTGGTAAATCAACTTCCAGTAAGAGTGATGGCTTCCATTTCTACAATAATAGCAAGCTTTTAGTGACAATGAATTCACTCTTCATTATTTATATCCCAACACATCTCTATTTTTCTGAGTACAATATCTTTCTTTTCATTTTCAATCTTAGGATCGTGCAGTCCTATATGGATGTCACATGACATTTACAAAGTACTGTCTGCGTGCAATTTGTAATTTCGATCAATAGAGACAATACGTGTCATTGTTTTCTAGAGCAAGTAAAGAAACATCTACCAAAACAATTTTTATACAAGATATGTTTAAAATGATTTTAAACATTTATTTCTCGAAGCGTGAATATAACTACTTAGTGCTTTGTGTGGTTAATTGCAAAATTGATTACACAAGTTACATGTACGAAGAACACATTTGGAATAAATATTCAAGTTAAGGCTTTTTAACAAGATGTTTTGAGAGGATGATGGTTGTATGGTATTCAAGGACTAAAACCAAATGTGACATGTTGAACAAAAGGATTTGAGACTGCATTTGACGAAGTGGTGGAATTTAGCCACCTTATTGATTATTTTCCATATCAGAGAATTTAGGTTTAGTTGATGTAGAAAGAGAGGCATTCAAACTTTTTTTTAAAATACTTTTTGAAATTTTTCTTTTGAATGAGTGTTACTCACAAATAGGTCGGAATTTGAGAATAAATCTTTCAATGATTCCTAGATACATAGGTATTTTTCACTGTTTGTTATCTTCATGGTTTTATTTCATTGTTTAGGAAGACAATCACCTGGAAACATGTAAAATACTTTCAAATTCTTTGATTGCCTTTAGAAATTAAGAAGGATACTTTTGGCTAGTGGATTTTCTTGTTTATTTAGATACTTTATTGAAGTGTGCGTTTGGAGAGAACAGCATTTATTTGTTAAACAAGCAAATGTTTGCTAGTGCAATTTTGTTTAATATACATGTAGCTATGAGGAAGTTATCACCCTATTGTAATATACTTGCACTTCAAAGACTGCATCTCAACATTCACTAAGCCTAGTTTTCCTGGAAAGTTTCATAAAAGGAAATGTCAAGTTCAGTAAATAATGAAATAAAGAATTTTGAATATACACACTTTTAGAAATTTCATTATCTTTTTTTGTAGAATCTAGCATTATCTTTTATACACATTCTTTCAGCCAAACAAAATTTATACCCAATTAGCTGTTAAAAATACACCTCTTAAATGCATCTTTAATTTTTCTTTATATCTGCCTGTCTTCCTTTATTTCCCTTTGAATTGTTCAGAAGTGCAATTTTACGTCGTTTAAATATCTGGGTTATTTTAAAATGGGAGAACTTAACAAAAAAAATTCTTAATTTTTTTTTTAACTCCTTAGCAATGACGGTTTTGCAATTAAAGGCATCGCCAATTTTTAACTTCAGATGATTATTGCTAATAGGTAACATAAAAAAAAATGTTTTATTAGACTTTGCAGGTTATATTATTTAGCGATAGCTAAAAGCATTATAGTATGATATTCATGTATTCAATATTGCTAGATGTGCATCAACTATCAATAGTGAAATCAAATTTAAAAACAATAAAAATATAAGAATTTAAGTTTAGTTTGAAGCATTTTCAAAATAGTTAAATTGATCATCAATTCAAAAAATAGGTATACTAAACATTTAAATGAGTTCTTGTTGATGACAAGTTCTTAGAGATTTTGTGAGATTTCAAAAAATATCTATGCGCGGGAAGGATAAGGCTGTCCGTAAAATATCAATTCTCACCAGCAGTAGTAACTTCTCTGAACTACCTAGATATCACGTTACAATAGCAGATGACGTCACGTTACTACAAACTAAAATGCTGACATGACGGGAAAAATGTCATAAATTTTACATACCTGTCTTATGACATATAGAAAGTAATTTACGTTGATGTTGAATTCAGGTGCCTTGTTTGTTTATAAACTTCAGTATATTGGTGAATATTTGCATTGACATCGTGATTTTTTCTCTTGTCTGATATATAGTGTATTCACACAATAATGAAAAAGTAGAGTGTGAAATGCCCCTCATTTCATGTCCGCAGACAAAGAATTTATAGATCGTGTATAAATTAGACTGGTACAAGTGATTAATAAGGATAAATTGAAGATATTCTGTTTGAATCTACTAGAGTAGTATGTTCTCTAACTGAATCTTGCTGGGGGATAATTTGATATTATAGCCTCTTTTGTATAAATTGTTATAAAGAGTGGAAAATACCCTTATATGTGTTGGTAAGATGAAGTTCTCAGGAAATGTTTACTATATCAATATAAATCCAACTTCCCCCAGCACTTTATATATACAATAGGATACGATTAACTGATTCATATAACAAAAAGTTCACAATAATTTTGTTTATCACTTGTGCCGATGTGATTTTTGTGCAACATTTCGGAAATATTATAAGTGACCGTCACGTGGTCACTGAAGTCGTGTGACATCACAAAAATATCTAGATGACGTCATTATATCTAAACTTTGAACTTGTAATATAATTTTGTCCTTTATTGTACATAAAGAAGACTCATTTATTTTGAATATCATGTCTTCACTATAAAGGGATCAAATTTATGCTTTATTTGTTAGCAGACGGTTAAATCTGATTTAGTTAACATAAATCATTCTACATGCAAGCTCCCGTATATTGAATGTATCCAATATTTTATAAAAGGGATAATTGTATGCTTTGATTATCATGTATCAGCCAACTTTAATTTGTATTTGATTTTCATGAGTGTACTTCAAACATATCCTAATTTAATAAATTTGCCACATCTTATCAATGGAAATCTATGTAGAAGTGATATAATAATGATACATGTATGACACAATTTGCGCCTTCAACACTTTATAAATCGATTTCAACGATAAATTAAAATCCATGATTTTTTTATATTAAAGATAAAATATTTTTATTGAAAAGAAAACATTCGGATTATTGACAAAAGTACTCAGAAATTAATATATAAAAGATACTTGTATTTTAAATTGGAGTTAAATATGTAGTTTTCAGAGATCAAAAGAGATAAAAGGTGACGATAACAAATAGCGATCGATCTCAAAAAAGCTATAAACAATACAAATGTGAAGAGGGCATAAAACATTGACCTCTGGAAATTTCAGATTTGGGAGCAGGTGCCTAGGAGGAGTAAGCATCGCCTGCTGATCGGTCACACCCGCCGTGAACCCTTCCTGATAAGGTAGAAGGAACTTCCATAGTAACATTCAGTATAAAACCAAAGGCCTAACAATTGGTATGAAACAAGTCAGCCAAAATACAACCCAGTGATTGGTTATATTGGCTAACAAAATCATTATAATGACCAAAGAATTTACGAAATGTGACCTAAATGAGGTTGTTAAAATCTCTGTAACATCAACTTATCAGTGAGTTGTAAGCCTCGCTTTAAAAATTGATCGTACTTAGAGCAAGCTCTTGGCTAGCGAACAATTTGGGAGACGTGAACCCCATAAGCAGGTGATAGTGGAATAATACAACATGAATAAAGGTGACGATGGAAAAGCTGAAATCCTCTCGTTCGCGTACAATTAAGTTGGTAATTGGCCTTTATCTGCTATAGTCAGTAAAATAGATGTAACATACTCGGTGGTGTATTTTATCTCAAGTTTAATGGATATATCAAGTTGACATATGAATGAAAACAACTATTCTTAATTGATAAAATATTGTCGATATATCTGAATGTCCAATTGAAGGCCACAACAAGTGTTTCCTTCTTCTCATGCAGAAGTTTTTGAATAAATTCTGCTTCATAGGAATATGAGAACAGGCAAGCTAATAAAGGAGCACAAATATTGCCCAACGGAATTTTTTGTTAAAACTTGGTCTCCGATTCTACGTAAATGTTGTTAATGAGGAACTCAATCATCCTTTTGATATCAACTTCAGAGTACTTGCATGTCAGAGTGGTTTGAATTTTGCTAATGACCAATCACAAGATGGGAAAATCTGTTGAAATTTCCATGGACACTAGTTTCCCTCTCCCTACCCCCATTACATGTATTTGCAGACCTATTCTTGTATTCATGGCAAGAAAATTTTATTCAAAAAATTCTAAACGAAAAGATTTCTCTTCCTGTTCATATCTCGAATATGTTTAATCAATGACCAGTATTCATTTTCATTTTTAAGTTAATTAAATAACATATCTCTTTGAACTCGACTTAAACACGCCATAGAGTTCAAAACGATGTATAGAAAAATGACGTTCATGGCAACCTGTCAATAAAGCTTTCTGATAAACATGATCACTTCAACTTTTCTATAGTCGACTTCCTTTATTTTACAGCAATATATCATCATCACTTAAATATAGAGTTTATGTATTTCAGTTAATTCTTTACGCAAAAACATTTTCTACATACGAATTATTTTATTTAAAACGAGACAAGCTATCGACAATTAATTTGATGCTACAAAGATATCAACAGTTTGTTTAAAGACTGAATTTCGGTAACAAATACAATTACCTATCTGTTACTGTCGAAATGGGGGATTTATTTTAAGTTTATTAATCGAAACTTATCTCAAAGAAATAACGTTTATGGGTTTTATGAAACCTTGAACTATTATTAAAACATTGAGTAAATAGTGAACATAATAAAGTCTAAGTTGGATCTTTCATTGATTATTTACCATTTAACGATATAAAATCTTAACTGGATCTTTATTACTTAATAAATATGTACTTTTGAACATTTTGTAGACACATACATGACTTCATAGCTCTGATTATTTAATATTTTACTTTACATAGTTGTTTGAAAATAGCGATATTGAATTAGGAAATGTAGTTTGAAGTGCAGGAGAATTATTTTTTTTTTAAATTTTACTTCTCTTTGTGTTACAGATTATTCAAATTAATTTAGTTCGTGATAGTCTAATTTAAATTCATTGACATGTAACGTCCGATATGTATAACACAACGTTTTGAATACGGATACAATATGGTTTTTTTTTTTTTTTTTTGGATTACCGTTGTACAATAGACGTTATACAGATAAACAGTTAGGAATTTGTCAGCACAGCTTCTAAGTACTTAGTACAACTCACTAGTACAGTCAATTGACTAGTAGCCTTACTAGTACAGGGGAGGCTTAAAGGTCTAAAGTTCGTATAGTGGTTAGTGCTGTATGTTTCGATGGAATATGGAAAATGGATTATGCTGATTTATTATATAATCTTCGGCATTCAATGTGTTTTTGGTTTGTAAGGTATCATCTGAAGGGTAGGTCTCGATGTCCCACAGTGGGTTTCGAACCCGCAACGTATGGAACAACTCTCTACTCCGCGACTCTAGAATGAAGCAAATCACTCATTCTAATCACTGTGCTACAAAGGACTGGTCTCCGAGATCCACAATAGAATTCAAACTGCGGCAAAAGGGTCCACTCCTTACTCCGCGGGTCTAGAAGAAACCAACATGTTCATTCTAACCACTGCACCATGCGGTTAACCAAACCATATTGGTAACACAATTGAAAAAAGCACAAGTATTTGTTCACTGGCATAAAGCAATTCTTCCTCGTCTGTTAGGTATGTCATTGAAGAATTAAAAAATGAAAAGTAATGGGCTTTTTTTTATATATATTATTGAGAAATGTGTAGTTACAATACACAGTTTACGACATAATGAAGCCTTCCTCCCACCTGGAAATTACAAAAAAAAAAAAAAAAATTGATGGTTAAACGATAATCTTGAAATGAATAAACTTTCCAATATTCACGATCCTCAGCTCTTATGAAAGAGGGATCGACTAAAATGTACACAAGAGTTCATTAATAATACAGGAGAGTCTTTAGTGTGGTTTCGTAGAACATTCGTACTGAGTTTTGGATAGAGTTTTTTGATGGTATCAACAGATTCAACTCCAGTAGTGTAAGCGGTAGTCGTCAATGGTGCAGATGCCTTATCATATCTATTAGTGATTTTTTATCACGTAATTTAATCGCCACCAATTTTAGTTGCTCCTTCTCTCCGCCCGCTTTCTTATCCTTCTGCTAAAATCTATCTGGCCAACTCATTTTACACTTATAATAGATAATAATTAGAACCCCAAGGATTAAAGCTATATGCTGATTATTAAATTAGAATAACCCAATTTGGACAACCCCCTATTGCAGATAATGGATTAATTGAATCACTACATGTCGATTCATAACTCAGTCTGCCCATTGGTTGTGTGTCAAGGTGAGGCAATTAAAGCAGGGATTTGAAAAGGTTTCTAAAGTTAAATAAAAGAAACATTATATGCCTTCATTAAAGTTTGCAAGATAGCAGTTATATCCACTTAATAAAAATAATGAGTAGGTAGTTTTTATTCACTTAATCTATGAAATATGCTCTTTCGTTTCATTTGTAAAGAAATGTAGTTAATAATTTTTGATTTGATATAAATATTTCCAAATGGCAGTCTAATTTTGATATATCATAGAAGTCCAATTTCCTTTTATTATTTTTTTTTTTAATTGTTCAATAAATACTTTAAAATAATTTGAATCTTTTGTTTGTGTTGCAAGAATAATGTGAGCACATACAGTAAGTTAAAAGATTAGTTGACATCAGAGTAAGTTTGAAATGGTTCGTAAGTGAGTTCATAATTCATTACCTCTATCAACTTCTTTTCTCTTACTTTTTTGCTTTTTGTTTTTTGTTATCTTACGTTTTATTTTACATTCATTAACATCCATAAGTGATTCGTCACTCTGATTCAGTCACTGATTTAGCATCATAATTTTGTTGTTTTAAACGTTTGGTCAGTTCATATAAGGGAATATCATATTCATAAGAATTTTCATCTTTCTTCTATACTTTTGAGCTACTTTTCTTCGTCAATGCTACTTACACTATCTTGATTTATTGATATTGGTTCGTTTTCCCACTCATTGTCTGACACGTAAGAATCTCTATTTGAGTTTACAAATCTTTTAAATTGTCACTTATATCTTCCGATTCCATGTTTTTCATTTTGTGTTTCGGACTCGTGATTAATCGAGACGTTATTGTCTGATTCATTATCGTCAGATTCTGCATTACACTGTACATAGGCGGCTTTACGCAGAAGTCTTGCATGGCCATTATGATGTATTTTCCATTCATCGATTTTCGCTAATCGCAGTGATTCTTTATGCGTTTCTGTCACTTTGTTATCTAATTGACTATTGATTCTAAATAATACTGTTGAAATTTGCTCAATTATTCTATAGAATATTTTCCATTTAGATTGAAGCTTACTCTGTCTTTGATTATTTTTATACTAAACTGGGTCACCAGTTTAAGTCTAAATCTACTGCATTTGTGTTCACATTTTTTGTTTGTTTTCTCTTCGATTGCTTTAAAATTCTGTGAACCATTGTAAAGGATTTATGCTGTTTTTCTAACGCATAATTCTATATGGAATATGTGTCGAGGTAGCAGAATATTATCTGTTGGCATAATTACATCTCAATTATAAAGTAAATAAAATGGCAAGAAAGTAGAAGATTCGTTGATGTTAAATCGAACGGCGACTGATGTTTAATTTAGAAAAATATCCCATGTTGTTAAATTGTCTTCAAATCTGTTAACCTATACATACATCATGAAGTGTTCCATGGAATCTCTCAACTTTTGTATTAGTATTCATTAACTACCTTATTTTCATTTTCTGTGCCATTGTCATAATTTCTAAGGGCGAAACAAATCTTGGAAATATCAATTCAACGATCTAATGCGCAATCGTCTCGTCAGTTTTATCCAGGACTGAGAAAGCTTCAGGCCAGCCAGAGTAAAGATCTACAAATCCGAAAATATATTTGTTTCCCAAATCTGATACGGACTTGATAAATCTGAGCCAATTTTAGCAAATGGAAATGGTGAAACGTCTGTTTCTTGAATATCTTTTTAAGGTTTCTTGTTGCACATGTTACAGAACTCGTAAATTTACTTAATCTGTCATTGGTCATTTGCAAAATTATTTTGTTGAAAAACATTCTGATTGTACACACAAGTACTCTGAAGTTGACATTAACAAGATGCTTGAGTTTCGGATTGACAATATGTGGTTTTTGGAGACCAGGTCTTCCAACAAACTATTGGAATTCCCATGGGTACCAATTGTGTCCCGTTTTTAACAGACCCTTTTTTATATTCATTATGAAGCAGAATTTGTCCAAAATCTACGTATGTACAATTTCTAAAACGAGGTAAATTATTGTCAAACAAGTTGATGAAACAAGAATATCAACAGTCTCGTTTAAAGTCATCAATTCGAAAGTTCTATGGTCGATACAATGAACTTGTCAGCAAATACAATTTATCATTGAGTCAAATGCTGACTGAAGTTTTTCATACTAATTGTTAGGCCATTATTTACACACTGAATTGTCGAGGATCATGACAAGGAACACACGACGGGTGTGACCGATCGGCAGGGGATGCTCACTCCTCCATGGCACCTGATCCCACCTCTGATGTTTTGGAGGTCCGTGTTTGCCCTGCACCTATTTTGTATTGTTTAATGGACTTTTGAGCTTGAATACTGTTCGTTATCTCCATATATTTCATACAACTCTATATGCAAATTAGGCCAGTAATACTTTTGTCTGATCGCATCAAATGTTCTATCTATTCCCAAATGACCATTATCATCGTGATACTGCTTAATCACAGGGGATTGATAATGGACTGGCATATAAAGTCTTATATTCAGATCGCTCTCGACATTCGAGAAATATTATAACTCTTCGTCAAGAATGAGATGTTTGTCGATTAAATTGATATCTTCGCTGTGCTCTGTTGCAATTGGCGGACAATCCAATTTATTTCAGAATATTTAGATTTTCTTCAGCTACATTTACTTCGGTGTTTTCACTTAATTTGATTTGAGGTTTAAAAGGAATGTCAGGTTCATATATGTCTTAACAGAAATAATCTTTGAGATTTGTCGCATTTGAATTAATGAAACTAATTTCTAAAGAGTTTTCATGCACGTACGGATCATTTTGTTCATTTTAAAATTTCCACTTCAGAAAAAAATTACACGTTTGTTTGTGGCGTTCTAAATAGTAAGCCTGCGCAAGTATTTCCACTTCCCGGAATATATTCTATTTGGCAATTATATTCCACAATACTTAAAGCGCATACCATAGCTGGATTTTTTCAGTGGAGCTTCTAACAAGTATCTTAATGGTTTGTGATCAGTTCGAATGACAAATTCAGCATCATACAAGTTGTGATTGAATTTCTAAAGTGCAAAATGAATTGCAAATGCTTCTTTTCTACTGTAGAACTGTAGTCCAGAGAGTTTGTGTGTCACTTAGTTTGTGTGAAAAATACAAAATATATTTTTCATTTCTAATACCCAATATTCTAAGTTCATTTTCCTCTTCATTTTCATTTAATGGTTAAGCTAAACACGCGTCTATTGCTGTCAGACGCATCGGTGTAGAGAATATACTCTTTATTTGGATCGGGTATTGATGAAAGTGGTACTTTTCTAAGACTCTCTTTTAAGAAATCGAAAGCTTGTTGACAATCGTCATTCCGTTTGAATCTTGCATATTTATTAATGATACCAGGCGTTCTGCAATCTTTGAAAAATTTGGTATAAATATAAAATTTGGTAATAATTTCACATACCGATAAAACTGCGTATTTCTTTTACAGTACTCGGCGGAGGTAAAGTGCGAATTGCAGCTACTTTGTTTGGATCAGGTCTTATTCCCTCTTTATGAATTACTGAGTTTTCTCTTGATCAAAGCTGCATTTTTTTTAATTTAACTTTAATCCATGCTATCTAAATCGATCAAATACAATTTGAATATGCTTCTCATGATCTTGGGAAATTCTTCAAAATCATATGTCCTTTTTAGATATTTTTAATATTCCCAACAATCAAAATGAATTTGATTTACCATACCTTAACTGGATTCCTAAACTTCATAAAAATCCTTACAGACAAAGATACATAGCGGGTTCCAGTAAATGTTCTACCAAGCCTCTTTCTTTACTCCTCACTAAAATATTTACTGTAATGAAGGAGAAACTTCAGGAGTACTGTACAACATTATATTCAAGAAGTGATGTAAATCAGATGTGGATACTTTAGAAATTCAAAGAACTTTTAGAAAATTAACAAATCACAAATTTTAACTAAAATCAATAACATCAAAACGTATGACTTTTCAACACTTTATACAACCATTTCTCACGATAAATTGAAGTCCAGGCTTTTTGACATCATGAACACCTGCTTTTTCAATAAAAATGGAACTCGTAAATATACTTACAATGACAATATTGTCATTGGTCATTTTTCAAAATTAATTTTGTTACAAAGCATTTTGATTGTACACACAAGTACTCTGAAATTGATATAAAAAAGATGCTTGAGTTTCTGATTGACAATATCTATGTATTTTTTGGAGATCAGGTCTTCCAACAATCTGTTGGAATTCCCATGGGTACCAATTGTGCCCCGTTATTAGCAGACCTATTTTTGTATTCATATGAAGCGGAATTTATTCAAAAACATCAATATGAGAAGAAGAAAACACTTGCCGTGGCCTTCAACTCGACATTTTGCTATATCGACGCCGTATTATGAATTTACAATAATTACTTTCATTTATATGGCGACTCGATATGTCCCAGTGAGCTTGAAATAAAAGATACCAAAGATTCTGACACTTCTGTTTCATATTTAGATGTTTTACTTGAGAAAGACGTTAATGGTAACCTAACAAGAAAGCCTTATGATAAACGTGATGACTTCACCTTTTCAATCGTCAACATGCCCTACTTATGCAGCAATATCCCCTTGTCCCCTGCATACGGGGTTTATATTTCTCAGTTGATTCGTTACACCATAGCATGCTCTACGTATGAACAATTTCTAAAACGAGGCAAGCTATTGTATCGTTTCATTGGACTTTCGAGATTGAATGAAATATGAACGCAGCACGGTTAAGGCTACAATAAAGAGGCGGGGCCTTATTTATACGGGAAATGCTTACTATGACATCACACAAAAATATATGTTCTTCAAATTACCACAAAATGAAATGATTAGCTATTTTAAATTGTTTGATAGCTTTAAACTACATCAATACTCTCTATTGCATGTATTTTTGTCGTTGGTTAAATCCCACACAGCAATATATAAACAATTCACTGATCGGAATGTACTTGTCAATGTGATGTCATATTGTAAAATTTGACGCAGTTTGTATGCAGTGAGAGGCGGATCAAGTTATATTTTATACAATGAAAAATGTATTTTCTAATTAAATAAAATATGATTTGCAGATATATAAGAGGCCATTAACTTGGATGCGATGTCTATTTTATGATTTTAATCATACACTCTCCGTACATTTCCTATACAAGCGATACTGCCGTATATTTGTATGCAGATTCATTGAAGGGTAATAAAAGGGTTGTAATAAATCTATATGTTGCAAGGGCATACCTCAATGAATTATGACAAGCTTTTACACATAAACTCAAGAGGTATGAAGATATTCGAAAAGTGCTGCGAACCTGATAAAATCTTGCAAATGAATTAATTATATCTATATTTAATGTAGTTAACCAGCAGAATATTCAACATGCAGTATAGCAAATGTACTTTTAGCAATTAGATAGTAGAATCTACATAACTCCGCAGGACTTTTCACGAACTACGCAGGTTTGTTAAGGCTACACCCAGAGATATCCTACTTGCCTTTACAATATGACGTCATAGTAAGCTGTATGACGTGATCTTTAGAAATAATGATTTCTTAAAGTCTATATTTAAAATTTAATTTCAGATCCAAGAAATGAATGGAATCATTCAAAAACATAATATAAACTAAATCTTGTCGTTTTGGGTGGTATAAATAGCTAAGTATTTCTCACGGGGGTTAAATACCAAACCCATGACGTCATAACTATTGATCAAATATTTGCCGAGTGAAAATGAAACGTGACGAGAATTCATGTAAACAAATATATGAAATGGGAGTTTTAAAGCATATACATTGAATGTTATGTGTGATTCATAAGGAATTAAAGATTAAGAATCAGGTACGCTGATTTATTCTTATCATGTTTTCTTATAATGAACAGAGGCAGTGCTTTGAAATCCCGATCAGCCTTTCCTCTGTCGCTCTGCAACAACAAAGATGCAAAAGTTCAATACTACGCCGCATACTGTGAAATATAATTTTTGTTTGTATCGAAAGCTTGTATTCTATAGTACTTGGAAAGTGCTGCTAGAATCGTGTGGTTAACATAAATTGATGACAATTCCTTGATCGTATGTATTAAATGTAAAAATTTTGGTAAGGTTTCATGCGAAACTTTAGAATAAATTTTTCTGTGTTTGGAGAGTAGGATTCTAGCAGCACTTTTCATGGTCCAGTAATGTTTTTACATAATTATTTTCACGAAAAGAAATGAATTATCCCCGGGGTAGTGTTGAACTTTTCACTTTTTCATTAAGGTATTTTTTCTATTTATAGGCGTCACGTGATGACGTCGTAGTGGAGTGCTTCTATTAGCCTCAGACTCAATGACGTCTATACAATGGATAATAATAGTAAATGTTTTATCTATGGCTTTTCCGATTTATTAATGTTACATTTTACGAAAAAAGTCTAAATTCGCAGAAATATGATCTGTGTACTGCCTTAACGTACCCGCGTACAAAGAGTGTTTAAAATAATTATGAATTAAACTTAGTTATTTAACTTGGGATGCCCTTGCAATATTCGAATTTGTAGATGACCTCAGTACTGCATGTATATTTGATAAAATCACGTGACTGCCACATAACGTGACAAGTCTAAATAAGAAATATAATCGTCCTCAACATGTAGATTTGAACATCATTACATTTGTCCGACGATTGTAAAGTCATAAAAGGAATCGCCCATCCTTGTAAAGAATGTGCTTTCTATTAAAAAAAATCGCCGATACTGTAGATTCTTAAATATACGCGAGGAATTAATTATCGCATAATTTCGCGAGCAGCACCACTCGCGAAATAAAATTACTCGCTTTTCTCTTTATGTTACTGAAATCAGTGTAAAGAACTATACACGGTAAGGGCGTACTCCTGCCTCCATAATAGTCAAATTTTGAAAATCTCTTGAAATGAGCAAAAGTGCATATATTGTATAAAATAATCCAAATTAAGACAATATATTATGAAATTGGAAAAAATAGTTGGCTTTTCTTGTCTCTGTGACGTCACAAACTATTTGGATTTCCGTTATTTTTAAAATAGAGGCCAAAATGCACAGAGTTTGTTCAAATTTGACTATAGTATTTATAGAGCGCAAGCTTGCTCAGGTACCATATTCACATATTTCTTTGATATTAACATTCTATACATTATATCAAAAGATCTAGTCTGAGCAGACCTGCGCTCGATAATTTCCAATCAAAATACTGACGTAAATACACTATTTTCTCTCAAAATCATTGCAATTTGGAATTAACGTCATTTTATTGACGTCATATCTAACTAATGATGTCATAGTTGATAAAAATATTTAATGCTTTGAAGTCTGCAAATATCCACCTGGTTTAGAACATAATTAAAGATTTCTCCATCAAAGTTTTATTTTGGGGGCAGATACTGGCCACTACAGAATATAGTCCTTTCTTGATCAACCGTCCACTCGCGAATTATTGTTCTCGCGGTTTGACGCGATAATAAGTACTCGCGCAAAATAAGGAATCTGCAATATTTCCATTTGTCACCTTAACTGTACTGCGAAGATAACGAACAGTAATCAACCTCGAAAGTCCAATTAAACGATACAAATTTGGAGGAGAGCAAACCTCAAAATTTATAGGTGGGATCAGGTGCCATGGAGGAGTGAGCATCCCCTGCCAACTGGTCACACCCGCTGTGTGCTCCTTGTCACGATCGAAAAAGACCAGTTCAGTGTATAAATAATGGCCTAACAATTAGTATGAAAAACGTCAGTAAGCATTTGACTCAATGATAGGTTATATGTTCAGAAATATCAAAGTAGTTCCTTTTCCAACATTCAAAGCGCGATGTTACACATGTTAATGTGGGTAGCACTTGACCTGTGTGTACGCATTCTGCTGCGTATTGTAAAAAAAAAAAGGCCCATCACGTTCACATTGACACTTTGTGAGATTGAAAATTGTCCCAAATTATTAACATGGTCGTTGCAAGCATATGGAAATACCTTTCCTAATTCCTTGAACAAGTATTCTTCTCGTTGTCTACCGAATTGAGTACTTAAATTGGGATAATTTGTCGGATGATATATTTTTTCCAATATCATTGAAAGAGGAGCGATCAGGAGAACTGAAATAATTATAAAAATGTTGATGTTCCCCATTATTTATTTCAAACATATGCCCTGGCATCTTCTTGAGTGAACCCATTATTTCCCAATATAAATCCGTCGGCATAGAGTACATTCAAATCCATAGACAACATTTGAAGTTTTACATGTCAGAATTTCTCCAGTTTTAGTAAATGTCCAGTAAGTTTGCTATAAAACAAATTATTTTTTTATCAAGATATCTCAGGTTTTGCAATCCTTAATAGAACATTTGGAAGTGGAACGCATGAGGTCCGAAAAGGAATTGTCGAAAATATCTCTGATTGAAACCTTGCAACCTTAATTTAAGTTAGGTTTTGGTTTGTTTTATTAAAAAAAAAGCCTATCAGAGCCTTTAACCACGTATTCAAATTTCGTCTTACCAATATTTTTTTCCTCTTATTGCCTCTAAAAAAATGACTTGATATGTACGACAAATATTCTATTTGTTGTAGTTGTCTTGTCAAAAATTTACTATAGTTAGCAATAGTTCGCTTTAATTTAATTTTGTACTTGTAATTTTGTAATTATTTTGTTTTTCAATGTTTTAATTTAGGATGGTATTTCGAAACTTTGATTTGATATTTTGTGAAACTTTAAGATTTACAGCACTTTATAGTTCATACCATACTATTGAA